GTTGATAGATGGTCACAAGGATGGGGAGCGCTCGATATTATTAAATACTGAGGGCAATATACATTAAAACCATGAGCAAAGATCACTAAATGCTCACCTGCACGGTTAAAACTAAAACGTCTGATAACAGCAAGGGCTGGGAAGAATGTGGAGCAGCAGAAATTCTCCTGTTACTGAACAATGTGCAAAATGGCTCGATCGCTTCGGAAAATTTTGCAATACAGACTTCGACTCCTAGAAGTGGCATTACATAATGCATAATAGGTACACCAAAAGGCATATACGAGAATGTTCACAGCAGCATTATGAGTGTGAAGCGAATGTCCACCAAGAGTAAAATGGATATGTAAATTGTGGTGTATTCATTCCATGGCATACCATAGTTAAAATTAATACATCGAAGATACACTAGACGATATAGACGAATTTCACAAATACGGTGCTGAGTGAAACCTACTCTATGATTACATAAAGTTCAAAAACCAGTGAAACTAAAATTTGGTGTTGAGGGATTCATATTTAAATGGTAAAACTACTGAAAAAAAAAAAGGCAAAGACATTAGCACGGAAGTCAGGACAGCAGCTACCTGGGGGAGAGGGAAGGGTGTAACTAGGAAGTGGTAGGCAGGGGCTGCAGGGAGGCTGGCAACAATCCATTCTGACCTGAGTATTTGCTTTATACTAATTTTTAAAACCTTACTATTATTTTTATGCATTTTCATAATCATATTTCACAACTTTTTAAAAAATATATTTTCGATCAAAAAAAAAAAAAGAGGAACCATATAGATAGCCCTAGTTCCTGCCTCTGAGAGCTTATACTTAATTATCCGAAGGAGGCTATGAGAAAACCCTAGCGAAATGTAGGAAAGAGAAGACCAATCACAAATAAGTTAACTTCATAAAAAGCATTTTCATCTCTCTTTTAAACGAAAGTAGAAAACAGGAGGTATAATTAACAGAAACATCCTTAGCAGCAAAACTGCCCGCCCAGCACCCCAACTACAGAGTCAAGATGCCTCTGCCTCCACTCCTACAGGTAAGGGCTCCTTCTCTTCACCTGGCCAGTAGTTTGAATTGCAAGGAAAGAGGGCACCGTGACTCCTATTGGCAAGAGATGATGGATGGCTGATTTTACCAAAGTACTTCCAGTGCCACCTTGCGAAGGGTGTTTTCAGTACTCTGATAATTAATGGGTAAGCTGGAAGGCACTTTTTCGTTCAAAGACATTTATTTCTTAATTAAACGACAGGCTAATGTTAACATTCATAAATTATTTGACTAGCTCACAGCAGCATAATGAACTGACTTTAAAAGCTGAAAACGATGCTGCTCTTTCAGAAGTTGCAGCCGTGGGTCTAAATGAAAATGTGAAGTAGGAAGAGTTGTTCTTTCGAAGCCTCCTCTCAGGGCCCCCTCCCCACACCTCACCCGGTGTCTGCTTTCCCGCTGCGCAGGGATAACCCGTCCCGACCCCGTGCACACGGGGGCTCCCGAAGGGAGTGGGGAGCAGTTTGCTGGTGGGGGAGCATTTTATCACCTGCTCAGAATTGCCAGCACGCAGTGATAATAAAAAGCGGACCGACTCTTAGTTAGTTTTATTACTGCTTTTCAGTTCTCTGCAGATGGCACACCATCTCACTGCCTGCACCCCGGAGCCGCGCCCCCACTTCCACCCGAGTCGGAGCATGCCTCGTGACTTGCTGTGACCAACAGAATATGGTGAAAATGATACTTCGGGACTTCCAGGTCTAGACCTCAAGAGGCTTTGCAGGTTTTGCTCGAGCTGTCTCGGAACCCTGAGACCACCGTGTTGGGAAGCCCCGTCTGGCCCCCTCGAAGAAAGAGAGCACGTGCAGAGAGAGATACAGCAAGTACCAGCTCCCGACAGGCGAGCGGGGGCGTCTTATGTCATTAGCCCTGGTCCAGCTGTCGGATGACCGCAGCCCCATGAGCGACCGCATGTCAAGAGGCAAGACCAGCAGAACTGTCCAGCTGAGCCCAGACCCACAAACTGGTGAGCAGTTCGAATGGGTGTTTGAAGCCCCCGAATGGGATTCTCACCCAGCTCTGCCCCTTAACGATGTGACCGTAAACAAGTCGCTTAACTTTTTCAAGTCTCTTTCCTTCTCTATACACTGGGGGTGATGACAGCACCTCCCACAGGTGGGCGTGGCAAGGATCGAATGGGGTTACGTCTGTGTGGCAGGGCACAGGCAGTGAGATGTAGTCACCAAAGCGAGTATGAACACATCCTGCTGGAAAAGCCCCCAGAGTACAAACGGAAGGACTGGCGGAGGACTCCTGAACCCCTCAATTCTCCTTCAAGGGAATAAAGAAAGACAGCCGATACTGTGGGGTTTTCTTTGGGGAAAGATAAGTCAAAGATGTATACTATAAACTCTAAAGCACTAAAGTAAAAAACAGAATTATAGCTAATTAGCCAACAAAGTAAAAGTAATGAAATCATAAAAAATACTCAACTGATCCCCCGAAAAATGCAGAAGAGGAGGAAAGGAGAAACACGAAGCAGATGGGACAAATAGCAAGCAAGATGGTAGATGGAAACCCGACCTTATCAATAATCACATGACCTGCCAGTGACTTAAGAAGCACACCTTGGAAGGTGGCGCCGTTTCTGCTTCCAGCCCGTTTCCAGGCCCATGTTTTCTCCCTGCTGGAGATACGGCATTGCAGAATGGTTATTCACGAAGGACGCGTTCTGCCTTCTGGAGTGGGGCGCCCCATCCTCAGAGGCTGCCATCGCCAAGTGGACGCCTCGGATGTGCCTTCGAAAGATGATTTCCTTGCTCTCTCAACCGGGCGGCTTCTGAGTAATGCAGCAAGTGAGGAGACCAGTAATGAGTAAGTGATGGGCCCCATAATCACCTTCCACCACTGTGTCTCCACTGCTGCTCCGTGTGTTGCTTGGTCCACTGTGATGTGATGTGGGATTCCATGCTGGCGGCTCAGATGCTAAGCCCCTCAGACGGTGGTGCTGGCTGAGAGCTTCGAGGCCGAAAATACAGACTCACACCTGGAATATTCGTCTGTTGCGGGCAAGATGAATCGCTCTGCCTCCTCGGGTGGGAAAGGTGTTGTGTAATCAGCTTGCTGCCGAGCAGCGACAATGATATACCAGACGCTTAGCAATGACCTCTGGTGCTGGAAGACGGGACGTTCGGCAGCAGTGGCAGCGTCCACGTCAGCCTCGGTGAGACAGAGTCAGGCTGCTGTGTCCCTGTAACCTCCATCCTGCCAGCAAGGCTACGCCATTCATGTGCCCACTGTGCTAGCACCGAAGTGGCCAGTGGAAGAGGCTGGCTGACATCGACTGGCCACATCGTCCCGCCTAATTGGTCCTTCAGCGCCTCTTCTGTAGCTGATGCTGAGAGACAAACCTGGGCCAGAACTGCATGCATTACCTGGCTCCTCCCAGCTCCCCAGTCCTACAGGGAGCCTCGATCACACTCTGGATTCCAAAGAATCGATTTCAGCTCCAAACCCGTATTGCGCCTTCATCGAAATGTCGGAACACATCCCTCTCCCCGGGAAACAGTTACTCAGGTAAACGACAATAGATGGCATAGAGGAAGGACTGGGGGTGTCGCTAGCATACACCCCACCATGGTGTTGCAGGGTCCTTCTATGGCAGAGACCGCAGAAACCTGGCCTCCTCTTCAGTAGCTGTGGGTCTGAAAACTGGCTCATGTCTGGAGATCAAGCAAAAGTAGCCCTGGCCTCTGGGCTACTTTTGAACGATCCATCCACGATCGTTCCATTGTGTATACTGAGAAACATCGTTGGCACCTATATCTTCCCTGCAGGGACACTGTTCCATTGACCGTCTACCTGGTCTGAGGTGTCTAGTCCCCATACCTGTCACTCCGACCTTGCCTCTCATTATAATCCTAATTATGCTCCGTCTTGCTTCTGACACATAAGTGCCACCGCCTGACACATCCATCCACGATCGTTCCATTGTGTATACTGAGAAACATCCTTGGCACCTATATCTTCCCTGTAGGGACACTGTTCCATTGACCGTCTACCTGGTCTGAGGTGTCTAGTCCCCATACCTGTCACTCCGACCTTGCCTCTCATTATAATCCTAATTATGCTCCGTCTTGCTTCTGACACATAAGTGCCACCGCCTGACCTCCACTATTTCGGGAGTCTACCATCTCCACTTCTGTAAGAGAACTCAGCGGTGTAACAGCAGCTCCTAACATCAGTCCTGGCTTACGGGAGAGTCGCCGCTGAGCCACCCGGGGTGCTGTGGTCCTCTCTTCCTCCCTTACTACTTTGGCAGTGTTCTCAGACCTGCCCCCAGATACAGTCACTGGCGAGTCTTCCAGCTTCAGATAATACTTCCTTCTAGCAGGTCCACTTCTCTGAGCCTTTCGATCCCTTCTTTCACTGTCTGCCACAGCATTCCTGACATTTCTCCTTCAGTCAACATGAACCACCGCTTTTTCCAAGCTTCCAAGAACCGTCTTCACAGCATATTTGCACCGTCTCCCAAGATCTTTGCCGAGATATTAAATCCAGTACCACAAGGTGCAGTCCCTACGATACACGTCCATCATCCCCGCATTATGACCTCTCTTGCTCTAGAACCCTCAGAATCCCTTCCCGTGTGTCCTCCCCCAGCTCCTGCCAGTAAATGCTGTTGGAGTCTTATAGCTCCTGTAGGATACAGTCCTTTCCTCCCTTAGCAGCCCCCACGCTTCTCCAGCCAGGTTACATTATTATGACTCGACCCTATTTATTGGCCTAGTGGCATCGTCTTGAAGAGGGAGTGCCAGCCTGTAACAGGGAGAGACGGGTCATTTCTGCAGGCCCAGAGGTTCAGAGGGATCTATAGGTTCGAGATTTTGTCCATCCAGATGTCCCCACTGCATGTGTCAGGATTTCACTCTGCCCCACTCAAGACCCTGACCTTGGAGTAGCAGACTTCACAAAACTGAAAATCAACCTCTCCAAGGGCACTGCTACTCTTATAATTAAGATCTGAGCCTGATCCTCAGATTTATTCTGCCATCTGGCTGCAGCTTTCACACTTAGCCCTTAACTGGTGATTAATACATTTAGCCTTCATTGTTTTTTTGTTGTTTTTTTTTTCAGTGCATCGATTGCTCCTGTCTACAGCCTTCCAATCTGTCTTCCTTTTTAGATTACTGCCTCCCCCTGACTCTCAGCACTGCCCCCTTTAGGATATTTATGGTACAGTTACCAGGCAAGGCCCAGGAAAGACAAGGAAAAGGGACCATTTCTTAACACTGGACACCTCTGGCATTGTTTCCAGATCAATTTTGGGTTACGGGGCCCTCTCTGTTCTTCCCTAGTCATTTTTCAAGTTGCCAGAGGACCTAGACTATCTCCAATTGTTAGAAGCTCTTGTAATTCTGGAGATCAATATCCTTGTGTTCATCCAGCCTCCAGCACAGAGACAACCTCGCAGGCAGAACACAGGTAGGCCCATTAGGTAACTCACTCACCTCAGGGCTATCCGTTACTACTTCAACAGTCCAGTTAAGTGGATGAATGTCTTATTTCTGGCTTATGCTTGTTGTAGGCTCCGTTGCTAAAAATATGTGCCCCACCCAGAGTTCTGCTGTGTCCCAGGTCAAATCCACCCCATCACCACTGGGAGGAGACTGGAAAGCAGGAGAAGGGAGAAACCTTCCTTGTTCCTGATTCTGCGGCAGCAACAGGGACAATGACAGCAGTGACAAAAGCAGTAAAGGTGGTGGCAGCAGCCATGGCGGGAGCGAGTGAGGGCTCCTGGACTCCTGCTCTGGCAGCCAGTCCCCGCAGCAGCCTCAGCAGCACAGCAGTCACATGACAGGCCCCGGGTGACACCGTGCTCTCTGTGCGTCCAGCCCTCAGGGTGGAGTGGCTTCCTCAAATGGCAAAGCTTGGAGGAACTCGGCCCGCTCCTCTGCGCTCTTCCACTGTTCCAAGACCTTCGCCACCAATTTCCTGTGCTACATTCCCTCTGTTTAAATACCCTAGAGTAGTTTTTGCTTCCAGACCAAACGAAGGCTCAGCTCCTAAAATAGCCCCAGGAAACTGACTCAAAGACAGGAATCCGGACTGGCTATCTGAGTAGATTTGGCCTGAATGCAGTGATAACCTCAGTGGGAAGTGGGAAGTGGGTAGTGCAGAGTATGTGGTGGCAAACGGTTACTTAAATTATCACCACTGGATGCTTGGGATGAAGTGCTTATGGAAGGCAAGACTCGAGGAGACCACGTGCTGGCTGTATTCGACCATTTTGGTGGGGATGATGAATATAAAGGTTCTGGATGGGCTGGCTGCCTCTGAACACACTGGTGAGTTCACAGAGGGGAAAAAAAAAAACAAAATGACAAGCTCAGGGCTTTCATATCTCAACAAATATCAAGTTTCGAGAACCATAAAGCTTCTACAATAGCCAAAGAGAACCTCTTGTCCCTTAGAGCCACAGAGCCAATCCAGCTAAAAAGTCAGACCTCGCACTGGACCCTGCCGGTTGCAGAATTATAATTAACAGACTCAGCGGGTCTCTCACATGACTTATGAGTCTATAATCAATCGCCCAATCGGGTTACTGTTCCAAGTCGTGGGTACAGAGGTGAACGAGACCAACAGCATTTCCGGTCTCAGAAAAGTCCCTGCCAGAGGGGACTGCGAGTGCCAGGCCCTGAAATGAAGCCAAGCGCGGGCCTGGCAGGGAAGGGCAAGGCCAGACCTACGGGGGCGGTTAGTGCGCGGCAGGGAAGTTTCAACTTGCGAGGAAAATGGGAAGCCGCTGACTTTTTCTTGGCTGGAGGAAGGTCTGATGAATCTCAACAGTGGTAGCGAGTTGGTCTGGAGGTGATGGTGATGGAGAGTGGGAGGTTGAGCCAATTCTTAAAAATAGGAAAGAGCAGTTTACTCTGTATGGAAAGTGAAAGAGAAATAAATCATCATTACACTCGCAAAATTCAAAGTTGCTGACGAGAGAGAACAGTAAATCTCAAAGCTACAAATAACCAATTTACGAATATCCCATGAAAAGACTGGCCAGGAGCACACAGTGCTTGCCCCTTCTGTGTTTCTGTGGTGGTGTCTGGCGTTCCAGAGGCAACGGCACAGCCCGAAACTCTCACATCTAATGAATAGCTTTTTTTCTTCTATAAGGGGGTTTCTGGTATTTTTGCTGACTCGGCTCAATCTGACAGCTATGGGAAATTTATTTTTCATGTGCACACGCACCCTTTTTAAGAGCCTTCTCTCTCTCTTTCCTGCCATGTCACTTCTGCTCAGTTACCTCAGGAAAATATCCCTCCCTTCTGTCCCCTTTTTCCTCCATTTGTGAGCCAGCGGAAAATGCTCCTGATCACGAATGATGAGTTGAAAGCAGTGCCAGTGATACAGCCACATGAGGGAAGAGAGAGTGAGGGAAACGTCGTAAAGAACCAACAGCATCAAAGCAGAAAGCCTGGGAAAGGGCCCCAATTTCCTTTCATACTCCCCACTACAGCACCGATCTAGATTTTCATCCGCCTTTAATTAAATCTATTTTCCACGGGCGTTATCATTTAGTAAAGAATGAAAACCTTTCTTGATCAATTTCAGGGAGAGTGAGAGATTAAGTTACTTGCATAAATGCTAATATTGCAATGGAAATATTTTTTACTCATTTTTCTTGCAAATGTACGGTATGACATTAATATTATAAGTTTAAACGACTGAGTGGGCCAGTCTGGGTAGCTAAATGCATTAATAATGGCATTTTTATGAGAAAATGTATTATATCTTTAAACAGACTTTCGAGCTGGCCTCCGGAAACCTAGTTTTTGAAAGTCGAACGCTGCTTAATTCAATAAGAGATTCTACTGAGAAATATGAAGTTATATAATGTCTTAAGTATAGTAATGGAGAAGTCCAACATGTGTGTTAATTGCATGTGACTTCCTCTTCTCACCATTTAATTGGTTTTGGCAAGCAGCCAGTTCTTTATTTGTTGTTCTTCAGCTGTCGCTGTGAATTCTGTTAGCTCACAGAGTGGGAGAAAGATGAGCTGGAGGTATGAGTTATGCTGGATGAGTTTTCTAAAAATATTTATTAATGCTCCTTAAATTATCCTCGACTCGGTGTCGCTCTCAATTTAGAGCATCTTCTCACTTGGCTTCACACCACGATCTCACTTTTATTGTTCCTAGGGCCAGATGCAGCTGCATTTATTTACATTTTTTAAATGAATGAAACTCTTAACTTGTTGACATACCGAAGAGTCTAAAAATGTCCCATTGAAAGCCCTCCTCACAACCACATCTGCATGGGTGGCAGTTGAATTAGCCCCACTTTGTAGCAGGGTTGATTTCCAAGGGAAACGTTTGAGTGAAAATGAAGGGTTTTAGAAAGTCTTATTATTGGGTGACACGGAAGAAACTATTTTGGTTGCATTTCAAGTTTCCAACTGGAATTTCAAGTCGAGGCCACGAGACAAAAACCACTAGGGCAAAACAGAATGAGAGCGCAGCTGTCCTTCCGCTTCAGACTCCCCAGCGGCACTGCAGGAACTAGACTGTCTTCTTTTGAACTTCTAGCTACCGTGAGGAGGGAAGACATTCTGAAGCTGGGATACATACTTCGAGGCCAGCCTCTCAATTACCCACACTGGATGATTTGAGTAGTAGTCAGTCATTAACAGTTTTTGAGAACCCAGCCCTGCGTGATGGAGCCATAGGGATACGCAAATGAAGAAAATTCAGTGGCTGCCCTTGAAAAGCTTACTATCGGGAGGGAAGGCGATCAGCGATGACATAAAGCAAAGTGACAGGAAGTACTAAAGCAGAGGAGCAGGCAGAAGGCCGTGGAAAGGTGAAGCAGGGAACGGCTATTTCTAATTAGGTGGACTTGAATGAAGTGAAGACGAGTCCACAGACACTATAAGGAAAACACAGATGTCTGAATGGCGAGCACAGGGGAGGGTGAGGAGCGCAGTGTGACACGTGGGCGCAGAGACAGGCACGGTGCTCGAGGACGCTGGGGAGGTGGGCTGGGGCTAAGCCCCGGAGGGTCTTAAGGCCACAACCAGGAATTGAACAAAATACTTCGGGCGAGAAGGAGCCACGGAAGACTTTGGGGGGTAAAGGTATCTGACCTAAATTGCAGAAGGATAACTCATGTGACCATGAAGAAACTGGGCTAAAGATCTGGTATGTCAAAGCTATTGAAACAATACAGAGGAGAGTTGATAAGTACTTAAATTAGAGCTGAACTAAGTATTGGATTGGGAAGGAAGCTCAAAGGAAGAAAGTGGGGAGGGGACTTGGCAATCGATTATTTGGATGCCAAGACAGACTGGGATCTAGAGAGAATGGAGGACAGGCCACGGAACGTGACTGAGGTTTCCAGCCCAAGTGGCGATAAGGGTAGAAGTCCCAATAGCCAAGACAAGTGAACATGGCGAAAGAAGCAGTATGGTAGAAAGTGGGGTGCTGAATTGAATGTGGTCATTTCTAGTTACGGATAAGAAGTGCTCGTGAAGATATCCAGGAGACCGTTAGTGATTTGTGTTCGCCACAGGAAATGCAGCAGTGGATACGGGGGAGACCCCCTCAGAAAGGGAACCTGAGCGAGAAGAGACGAGATGGGAAGACAGGACTCTGAGGAAAGCTACGTTTAAAGGGTAAGTGGAGAAGGAACCGGGAAGAATCGTAGAGACGCGCCGGAGGAAGTTCTTCCTGGGAGCAAAAGGAAGGGGGCAGGGGGAGCTTGGGATCTGAAAACACCCCAACCGAAAGCTCTTTGAGATTGCTACTGTTGTTGCTATGGACACGTCGAAAAACTTAGGAATGGGATTATGGCCCCAGCTCTCCTGCACACACTTGCTCGGAGGAGTCTCAGAAGCATCCCCTCTCGGCCAGTCGGTTGTGGTACTGAAAACTACCACGTCCAACAGTGGGGAACAAATCCAGGAGTTTGCCAAAACCGAAGTTGCAAACTTTTCCCTCTTGATCAATGTGTCTGATTTCTATTCTTAGATCTGCCCTACTTCATACCTTAGGTCCTCTACCTTTAGCTGAGGAAACGAAGTCCCTTTTGTTTATCGTAAGTGAAACGGACAATGAGCAGCCGTACACTACCCATCGGGTTAGCCGAAAACACGCACCGCCTGTACCCCAAACTAGCCGGCTACTACTGTAGTTGTTGTGCACTCTGTACGTACCCTGCCCAGCGCTCTATAACTAAAGAGCACTTTTCCCTGTATTGACTCATTCGCTTCTCACCATAACCCTGTGAGGAAAATACTCTTTCGCTCTCCCCGATTCTCACATTCAGAAATTCCTTGCACTAATCTCTCTCTTGGGATTGAGTCCAGATCATCTTTCCAAGTCTTTCTTTAGCTCGTTCTCTCCGTGAACTGGAATCCGCCTCAGCTCCCTTTCCTTAGTGCATGGCTCTTTCATACAATCTCATCCCTAGCCACTATTTCCCTTCCCGGCGGCCCTCGCCCCCAAGCTACCAAGACCACCACTGTCTGTCCCGTCTTCATCAGTTTTCCCTCTGTCCATCTCTGCCCACTATCCTTGAGCATTAAAAGAGTCTATACTAGGACTTAGCTTTAAGATACAGCTATTTCCCACAATAAAAAATGGTGTCACCACAATGCAAATAGGTTTGAAGGGGGGCTTTTCATACTAGGCACATCCTCGGACGGACAGACGACAGTTGCGAAGGGTGGAAGGGTGCGTTGCTGACCGCCGGCTCCCCACCCCACCTGGCATTGTCAGCGCCCATCCCTCCCCACCCCCTCTCTGGGGACCTCGCTCTCCACCCTTCTTCACCCTTCCTTGACCCCAGAGAGGATGACTTTTACAGAGCAGCCACAGGCTCTCTTGCCCTTCAGCTGCTGGTCGGGTGAAGCTAAGGGAAATCAGAGGGTGGGAGAACAGTGCCGTCAGGTGCCCACCCCCCGGCTCCCCGGCCCTGGTGACTGTCCTTCCCTGCCTCCTTCAGGCCTGAGGGTGGAGGCAGGCATCCCTCGCCGGCCCCGTTAGTTCCCTCGCTCCAGTCCACACCTCCGTGTGCCCTTCATTAAACTCTCCTCTGTACCACATCTGTGGGTGACCTGCCTGACAAGGCTCCTTTACAGAGCACGCAGGGCTCAGAAGCTCCCACGCACCCCACGATGCCATCGACAACGGCAAACACCTGAGTTTGCTAAGTTGTCCAAGGACAAGGACAAGTCCTAGGACATAAGGCAATACAGGACAGGTAAGCTTCGATGAGGGGAAAAGTGTGTTCGTCTCCTAGTGCTGCCATCATGAAGTACTACAACTGGGTGGCTTAAACCAACAGAAATTTATTCTCTCGCAGTCTGGCAGCTAGAAGCGTGAAACTGAGGTGTCAGCTCCCTCTAAAACCTTCTTTTCCTCTCCTACCTCTTGGCGTGTTCTTGCAGTCCTCATCTGTCCTTGGCTTGAGCTCCAGCACTTCAATCTCTGCCCGTTGTCACGTGGCCTTCTCCCTGTGTGTCTCTGCCCTCACATGGTGTTCTCCTTGTGTCTATGGTCAAATTTCCCTTTTCCTATTAAAAAAAAAAAATGTCAAAAACAAAACAAAACAGAACAAATTTCTCTCTTCTTATAAGGAAATCAGTCACCGGATTATGGGCTACCCTAATGGTTTTATCTTAACTTGATTACATCGGCAAAGACCCTATTTCTAAAACAGGTCCCATTCTGAGGTCCTGGGGTTTAGAATTATGATGTGTCTTTTGGGGGGATACAATTCAACCCAGAACAGATGGGTTCAGAAGCATAGGCTGCTAGGTAGTTATGAATGTCCCTTGTTTCTAAACAGGCTCAATCTGCAAAGCGCACTGCCTGCAGCTGATTAGTACCTGTCAGAACAGCACCTGTGCCTTCCACTGAGGGACTGATAGGGAGACTTACGAAGAAATCAGCCTCCTGACTCGTTCATTGCTGTTCAGTCCTACTCACGAGCCAAAATATCAGCTCCTCTAATGAAGCTGTGGAAAGATAAGAAATGTATGGGTCCTGTCTGTGAGACTTAGGAAGGCCAGGTGGGAGACGCTGTCTGTGGTGCTGATCCATAATCACAGAGACTATATTTAGACTCTTTCATTGTAGAAAATGACACCATGTTCATGATGGTCTTATCACTGGCTTTTTCCATGTTTGCTTTCCTGAGTCCATTGCTGCTACTTTCAAAAAAATAACAATAAGCTCTGTTTTGAGACCACAGACTTGCTACTTGGGTGTTCCAAGCTGGCAAATGCTATTCTTAACAGTCTTTTTTTTTTTTTTAATAGAATCAAGGGACAAAAATCTGGTGACATCTTTAGATAGACTGAAGTTCTAAAATTCTTAAATCTCAAACTATAAACTATAACTCTCCACTGTCTGGCCCTATCAAATCAACTCAGCATTTCAATTAACAAGCTTTACCACCCTAGGTAAAGCATTGTCCAAACTTTCCCACCTGGCATTTAAGATCCTCAGTAATTTCACTTAACCATGTACGCACCTTATATCCAATACATGTCATTCATTTTATTTATTCATTCAACAAACAAGAAATAATCACCTATTATTTGTTTAGCAGGTGTCATGGGTTGAACTGTGTCCCCTCAAAAAGATATGTTGAATTTCTAACCGCATCAGTACCTGTAAGGTACCTAGTACCTGTGAATGTGACCTTATTAGGAAATAGGATCTTAACAGAGGTAATCGAGTTAAGATGAGGTCGTGCTGAATTAGGGTGGGCCCTAATCCAATATGACAGGTGTCCTCATAAGAAGAGAAGAGACACCGAGACAGGCACAGCACACATGGTGACAAGGAAGCAGAGAATGCAGAGATGCGGCTCCATAGTGAGGGACGCCAAGGACTGCGGGCGACACCGAAAGCTAATAGAAAGGCATGGAACGGTTTCTCCTCTGGAACTTTCAGAAAGAGCATGGCCTTGTCGACTCCTTGACATTGGACTTCTGACTTCAAGACTGTGAGAGAATAAGTTTCCATTGTTTTAAGCTGCCTGTTTTGTGGTACTTTGTTATGGCAGCCACGGGAAACTAAGACAGCAGGTAAGCCCCTACGTTTCGCCAGACTGGTCCTCTTTTCCCTAATACTTTCATCTCTATCCCAGCCCTGCGACTTTGCGAGAACATCTCCCTCCATTTGGAGTGTCCTCTTTTCTACTCTCCACTTCTACACGTCAACGAAGTCTAACTTTTTCTCAAAGCCTAATTAATGCAGGCTCTCAGCAGTGCCAAGCTGGCTCCCACCTGTGGACCCTCAGGCAAACGTTAGCAGAAACAGTCCTGGTTCCCACGCCTACATCAGCATGTAGAAATTAGTATTATATCTCGACCCCCTCAATCACATCTGGTAGGGCATGCAGGTAGAGTTCATCATCAGAAAGAAGTCTTACTTTTAGCAGGTTGGGCATAACTAGAGTTAAAAGGATTCCTTACTTGCGTCATGGAGTCCACACAGGGAACGTCTGGGAAATCAGCTTCCCTGTCTGCCTCCCTGCCTCTTCCGCCCACAGTTCCCCCTGAGTTGTCCTGTCCCGCCAGCTCCCCATGGTAGGGTCCAAGCTTCACTCTGGAAGGCAGCATAAGTTCATTGAGGTTCTGCGTGAACCTGGAGGAGGCACTAGGTCATTCGTTCTGATGGCTCAGAGTGGCACATCTCCACGAAAACCCGTTCTTCTTGCTAATGTTGGCCACTTCGATGGCCAGCACTCTTGCCTCACATCAAAATCCCTGGCCTGAGAAGATGGAAAATATAAGCACACATCCGCCCATCGCCCATATCGGAATTCATTCCTCTGCCACACTTTCTTTTGCATACATACTTTCTTGCACATATGCTAATAAATGAATACACCAGCAGGCTGACACAGATTGATGTATCAAAGTGGAAACACTCAGCTTCTCTGTGCCAATGAACAACTGGATCCCAGCGTGACACAAACAAAGTGAGAACATAGCTGAACAGTTGCTCTGAGCTAAGGCAAGCTGGCGACCGATATTCATGAGGCCGTGTGGCGAGTCGCACTCCCCAGCTCTCCCACTTCAGGCAGGAGCAGTGACAGCTGCCTGCAGAGGTTTCTCTGGAAGACTTGGCCCTGCAGTGTCCAGCCCCGAACCCCACCCCACCCCCTGAGACACAGACAGGCAAAGAAGTGACGTCGGCAGTCTGCCTTTTCGAGCCCATGGGCCGGGGCCCTTGGGAAGATAGCAAAGAACCTCAAAATTCTCCAAACTTAATTCTCAATTCCACCGTTAGCCTCCTGGATGGCCAGGCACGAGCTGGGGAGTCTCTTGAATGTGGGATAGTTGTGATGTGACCCACGCGTGACGTTATCAAATACGTTCTGACTGCTTATTTTTGTCTTCATATTCCGATCATAAAATATAAAATCATGTAGAAAAAAGAATACATAATCATTACGGAACATTTGGAAATATAAAAGAAGAAAACCCAAACCACTTATATGGCCTAAAGGGAACCACTATTAACACTGGGCATTTTCCTGTTAGGTGTGCGCATATGTGCGCGTGTGTGAGAGAGTGTGAGCATGTGTGTGAGTATGCAGATGTAGATGTAGATAAATGTATATATGCGTGTTTGTGTGTACATATATATATACCTATAATTTTTTTATAAACACTATGTACTATAACCTGTTTTTATTGCTTAACGTTTTATCGAGGTCAACTTTCTGTGACTTTAAAAGTCTTCTTAGAAATCACTTTGCATGAAATTCCATATGACATTTCATCACAGGCTTTCAGTAAATCATGTTGTGCTATAAATACAGAGTGGAGCTACTGGAAACAAAATGTTCATCGAAAAGGACCTGCTATCAGCACCTGTTCTATCAGTATGAGCCCTTATTTTCTCAGTATTTATCAGTACCAGTCCCTATTTTAGGGTTTGTTGCCTTAGTGACAACCATCAAGCCAAGTTCACAATTTTATCCAACAACCATCTCACGGGCGCTTTTCAGAAATGAAGGTCAAGTCTCCTGCAGTACGAAACAGTACCTTCTCTCGCTCTGTCAGGATTGAAAAATGATCTTAGGGGCTCACAGGATTCCTTGCACTGATGGGTGGCACATAAAAGCCATGCATTGTTTGCGATGTCAGTCGGCCACCGGAATGACAGCAGGCTCGAGCCCCCAGCGGGCAGATCTGTGCCGACTCATTTTCACTCTCCTCTGGGCACCTACCCCACACGCAGTGTGCCCACACACACAGTGATGCTCAAACTCGTCAAGCGGCTTCAAGCACCTTCTTTTGGTCTACCCTGTGCCAGCTGCTGAGGGGGAGTTCTGACTTCAAATTTGGTGGGAATATAAAATACAAACATTCATAATAGGAAAAAAAAAACCAGGAGAGGTCACTGGCTAAGCGAATCTGCTGTGCGACCACCCTAGTCTCTGACCTAGCACACCATGTGATGTCACACACAGCCATCAGCTGAAGTGGAGGACGAGAGGGAAACTGACAGTGCTCTCCAGGCAGCCAGTGACACCTTAGTGGCAGCATGAAGCTCAGGCAGACCCTGAGCGGCACAAACTCCATCCCCTGGGATCTGGCAGACCTGCCCAGCATCTCCTCAAAGCACGCCTGTCTCCTCGGTCTTGCCAGGTCTCGACTCTCCTTTTGGATTTTCTGGCTCCACTTCTGATACTCCTCCTCTGGGCCTTTGGCTCCTTCAGGGTGCTACTCCCAGCATCATCCAGCCTTGATCTCACTGTTTTACCCCCTGGTCCTCAGCCCGGACCTGAGGCTCACAGATCGCTGGTCCCTGAACACCACTAGTCTTGCTGTATCCCATGTACCCCTAGGCCTAACGGTGATGGCCAACCAAGCCTTCGCCCCTCATCCATGGGTGGAACATGCTGCTGTCACGCATGTATGTGTAGAGTAGAACAAGGCACCGCCACCGTGACAGGCATGCATCGACGGACCGACTCAGCTGGAGATGCACAATGACAGACCCTGACTGTGGAAGGTCAGATGCCCTTCACTGGGGATAGAAAGATCCTCATTGCCTTCCACCCATGGTCCATTTTAGAGTCAGTCACTTGTAACATCCCACTGCTAAGTACTGACACCTAGCAGGAATCTTTTACAGTCCAAACTAACTTGTGTAAAAAAAAAAAAAATTTTTTCTAAGTGGGGAAGGCAGATTTATTACATCATTTTATGGTAAAAATCTGTCAGAACTGCACAAAGGGGCTCAAGCAATTTTGTTTAGACCAGTTTGGTCAATCTGTGTGTAGTCTAATTCATTTATTCACTCAAAAAACATGTACTTGGTTACACAGGTACCTAGAAATGTACTAAGTGCAGGGGATGCGAAGATTTAAAAATATATGGTTTCAGACCTTAGGAAGCTCTTACATAAGCTAGACTAATAAATAAATTATAATATAGGACGATAAGCACTAGGTACAAGACACACAGAGACTGGGCACCTCTGGGGACATAGCAACAAGACTCTGAGCCGAGGCTTGCAGGGAGAGGATGTCAGAGAAAGCTTCTCT